ACCCATTTGCCGCTTAGCCTTTAACACGTTAAAGGAGACACAGCAGTCCAATTCAGCACGAATGCCCTGGCACAGGTGGGTACACCATTTATAATTATATTATTTTGTTCGCCCCCCCCACACCCCCTTATACACCCGAAACACTTGGTAGCTTGAATATGAGGGAAAAAAAAAAAAAAAAAGAAAAAAGGAAAGAAGAAGATACATTTGGCCACCTACTCAGCCCGTATAAAAAGTTCCGCGCTGGCAGGTACACAACTATGCCCCTCCTTCCAAGCGGTTGACGTGACCTGATCCATCCACACGTACAGAACTTGACGGTGGGGCCTTTTCTGCATGCATGCCGCTACGCATGAGGATTGCGTCCTGCCAAAACCAGCACGCCTGTGCGCGCACGTACACAGTGTGTGCGATGAAAATGCTACACCTATGCTGCTGCACTGGTATATAACCGTTAACCCTTTAAAATTAAAAAAAAAGAAAAAAATGTTCCCACGCGTATTCCTCCTCTGCCTTGCCAGACACAGGCACACAGCACTACGCCCAAATTGTACAATGTACAGACTGAGAAGCTAATAAAAATGAAATTATAAAGGGAGAGCTTTCTCATGTAGTGGGTGACCCAACTTTCACTTTACCTTGTCCCCACAGGCACCAGCATAACTCAGCAATTTCAACTGTTACGTTGCTGTCACAAGGCACTGTGTTTGTAATTTAAAAAAAAAAAAAAAAAAAAACCAGATTGCGCCTGACCCACGCTTCCAAACATATTTCTGTTCCCGTCACGGTAAAATGTGATGCCGAGGTAACACACGTACCTCTCACAAAAATGCTCATTCCCATCATCACCGTTTGGCAATTTTCCATGGACACGTGAGTTCGTATATACAAGCACAACTTGTGCGCGGCTCACACGCCGACATGCATGTGGGCTATATGAACTTACACATATGCAACGCAGTAATGTGAAAAGACTAGTTGATGGTTCTTTGTCAGAGGAAGAAAACAAGGGAAGCATTCCCCGTGTTTGTCATATACACGTGGGTAAATACACACACACACAAATATAATATGTGCATACGTTCGGTGCTGCGCAACGCTTGGCGAAAGCCGTGCCGTCACACGCGTAAACCACGAACCGGTCAGACAGCTGCCGTGTGCGTTGCCGCGTGTTTGGCTGCGTGTGTGCCTGCATGTGTGGCCGCTTGGGTTTCGCCAATTGGCTGCCGCACCCTCCGCGAAAATGTCTTCATTCCAGGAGTTAATTGCATCATTTCTTCACTTTTCCTTTCGAATGTTCCATTTTTTTGTTGTTCCTTTTCTTCCTTCCCTTTTCGTCGTTATTTATATATATTTTTTTTTGTACCATTTTTGGTTATTTTTCGTTTTTTTTTTTTTTTTTTTTTTTTTTTTTTTTTTTTTTTTTT